TCTGCTCGTATTGTGGCCGTTTTTCGCGCAGTGCTCGGCTCAATCGCATCAATTGAATTCGATACCGTTCCCCAGTGATGGTTTCGTTCGGTTTCAACAGCTCATAATAAATAACACCGACTTGGTCATACCAAATACACAGCATAACCTTCGCAGAGTGAATATTCGGCCGAGCCGACGACGTAGAAGCATGACCGGGCAGTCCCCATGACTTTCTTTTCTTTAGGTTGCTGTAATGAATCCATTTTTCATCACCCGTCACGATGTGATGAAGAAAACCCTTCCTTTTTTGCCGCTGAAGCAGTTGTTCACAGGCGAAAAAACGACGCTCAACGTCCCTTGGCTTCAAATCATAAGGAACCCAAGTTCCTTGCTTTTGAATCATTCCCAACGCATGCAATCGCTTGGAAATGGCTTGGCGGGTAACTCCTAATGCTGAAGCAAGCTGTTCTTGCGTTTGGCATGGATCCTCATCGAGCAATGTCTCCAATTCAGCGTCTTCGAAGGTTTTTGGCCTTCCTTCACGCGGACGGTCGTCAACATCGAAATCACCGTCTTTGAAGCGACGAAACCAATCACGGCACGTTGTTTCACTTAGAGCAGCATCTTCGTAAACTTTTTGGAGCTCTCGATGCGCTTCAGCCGCCAATTTCTTCGAATGAAATAAGAAAATCAACACTTCCCGCAAATGACGATTATTTGGCACAAAATCCGACATTTTCACACAACCAAAAGTATATGACACCAAAACAAAATCACTAACGTGTCAAAACGGTTTGTTTACCATATGTCTAAGCTTGGTTCATGACGTTTTGGATATGTCAAAATCGACCAGCACTTACTGCTGGAGCCATCTATTGACAAACAGCGGAAACCTAGTTGCGCACCTAATACATAAAAGTACTTGATTTGATTTTTTAGGTTTCCATGCATATTAGATTTGGTTTCCGGATTTGAACCGCTTGGAATCCTCTTTGCTTGATTCCGACGTTTCGCGAACATTTCAATCCGCTTTATTAGGGAGGAACGACACGATGCCGAGTTGCTCCTGAGAGGTCTTCCTCTATATGGTAGTTAGCATATCGGGAGAAGGGTGAGGAGACAAGAGGGAAAGGAGGTTAGCAGGAAAGATGGTGGTGAGAAATTTGTTGTCTGTCATGTTTTGGAAATCGGGAGGCCGGATTGCCAAATTGGGCTGATTTTTTGTCCATTATCCCTGTTGGGATTGATGGAGTATATAGAGTACTCTGCTGCTGTGACAAAGTCTATATAGCAGAAACCGGGAGAATGATAAGCACACATATGTGTGCTTACCATTCAAAGAAACATCAAATCGCAGTCAAACTGAACAATGTAACGCAGTCAGCATTAGTGCAACACAATTTAGAAAGCGGACACAAAATCCGCTTCAACGAAATGACAGTACTGGTCAAACTCAACAACTACTTCCCTAGGAAATACAGGGAACCCTGTAATTGGAAATTCGAAAGCACTATAACAATCTGAACAGGGATAAAGGACAAAAAATCAGTCCAATCTAGAAACCCGTCCTCCTAGTTAAACCCCCCATACGGTCTCTTCCACCTCCCTCCCCCCAGCTCGCTATATGACAACTGCCATATAAAGGAAGACTTCTCAGGAGCAACTCGGCATCGAATCGTTCCTTCCTGACAAGGCGGACAGAATAGTTCGTGAAACGTTGTAATCAAACAAAAATGAATCCACGGCTCAAATCAGGAAAACAAATATAATATGCATGGACACAGCGAAAGCCTAAAAAATCAAATTAAAATACATTTTTTCTCAATGTGACAAGTTATAGCACTTTGTTTATTACGCATCCGTATAATGTGACCAGAAAGCTTTTCTATGCTATACTTATTAATCGAACAAAGTAGCGCAACAATAGGGACGACACATAACATATAAAATTATACAATCATATACATACTTTCGTTTAATACAGTATGAACTACGCTTTTACACAAATTCGGGAAAAAAACATAATACAAATTTCCTAATGAATGTGTACTATTACAAGACTTATATTTCATTGCCGACGATAATTACACTTGAATTTAATTTTGCAATTACAGATGATAACTCGAGAGACGCTAACAATTCCAGGTCTATTTTCATATTTCTTAACATATTTTGACAATTTAAATTGGAAAAGTCGATATTAACAAGTTATAATATTTGTTTACGAAGCACAGTTTGAAGAAAATAATGTACATGAAACATTGAGATTACTATCAGCACCTATCACTTGTAGAACGTGATCAATGAAAAAGAGATTTGTAAGGCAATTACATACAACTCAGTTATAGGCATAGAATGATCGTAGCTGCATATAATATTGCCTATAAGTATGATACAGAATGTGACAAATTGAAAAATTTAAAGAAACTATATACATATGGCCAGCATTCCATTATTTCATATTCAACATTCTTTACATATTTTGAGAAAATGAGAAATTATATACTGACACACCTTATACTAATTAATTATATAATGACAAATGAGCAAATATATTTTAACAAAAATACTATCAATTTATGACTGAATATATGCCTCAGTAAAAAATTTCAAATTTATTCCCGAATATTATTAAAAATTATATATCATCAACTATATCAAAATATAAATAGGAACAATACATAACCTTCTGCCTAGGTCGATCATGTGCTTTAATTTATAAAAACATAATAAAATGTGTATTTCGGTAATAAAATCCACCAGTCATATAATTTCTATACGGCATATAACCGCGGAATTTATTTTCTCTGTGTAATCGATTTCTGGTTGTACCTGTTTGTTCTTGTATCTTGTCTATGCATTCTTGTACTGTATTTTCCGAAAAAGCGGTTAAAAGTAACGGACACTCTTGCGCTATTATTGCTTCTAAAGATTTAGACCATGTATCTAAGAAAAGCCATTCTATTTCAAACAGTACGATCACATTCGGTTTTTCATATGAATCTAAGCGTACAAAATCGTGATACGGTTCTGATACGCTTCTAATATAAAGTTTCTGATTATAATGCCTGCACGTACTACACACAAAGCCTAAATCGCTCGATTCAAAATTTAACGAATTTATAAGTACAATATACAGTTTACTTATTTTTCTATATAAATGTAAGAAAATATGCCACGTTTCCAAATATGTTATACCTGTTTTGCTTACATCTATAACATGAATGATATATTTAAATCTCTTCTTTGAAAGAGATATTAAATTTGATTCCTGCAACGCATTGTATAACGTCAGCGGGCCGGATGTGTAATCAGAAAAAATAACTTGCTCTAATGACAAGTGGTACCTTAGGATAGAATGGTCTAAAGTCAACTCATAAGCAGGCAATATAGCATAAATGTGTAGGTAGTTCTTAATAAATGTAAAAGTGTCATGAAAAGGTGCCGTAGCAGGAAATTTGGTGAACTTATATCTTTTGATTTGAGGTAAAACTTCTTCAAAACGGCCGTTTATATGGGTGATATTTATGTTCAGTAATTGCAACAACTTATTGCAGCAATTATTATGCAATGTTTTAAATAGCATTTGGTCATCATCACAAAAGTTGGCTGAATAGCAAATGTTGCAGCGGCTTATGTTTGTCTGTCGGAAACACACACCACATGATTTTGCGCACATTATTATCTCTATTTCGTATGGAGCTAAGCCACGTGACAGAATAGAGGGCATTTGATGTAAAATTCCTTTCCGTGATTCTATCCATTCTCCCAAGCTACGATACGTATTCGAGAATAATTTGTCTTGTATTACCCTTCCTATAGCTTTGCAAATCTGAGAGTGTGTGTTTCTATGCATCGCCTCATGCTCCTCGGAACAGTAAGAAATCATGCAGCACCGATTACACGTTATCAAGTCTTCGCTGGGCTGTTTGCAAACATGACAAACGTTTGGATTAAAAAACTTATTATATCTGTCTTCTGTGTATGGACCATCAAAAGTTGATATTGACAAGGAATTCATCGCCATACGTCTTATTAATTCACGTTTATGAGTAGTTTGTTTGTAATATTTATATCAAAATAATGCACGAAGCTCGGCAACTCACGTAATATAACAGAAATGTATATACGGGTTATATATAGGTATTTAACTGGTAACAGTACACAGAACATTAATAACAATGTACAAGTATGTTTGTATGTATCGAAAAAGTTGTTGACAAAGTAAATTGTAACTGTTGAGATGACGAACTAGAAATATTCGTTAGTGGAAAGAAACAATATGTAAGCGTGATATATTATTTATGAATATCTACTTTAAAATATTCAAAACAAAGTACAAAGTTCACCAAGAAAATTATTTTAGTAAATTTGTTGTAATTTTTAATAAAACTTTAGTTTTTTCGGTAATATATTAGAAATTAGTTATTTCGGCAATATATTAGAAAGATCACTCTAAGCTAACTAATCCTTTGAAAAAATCTTTGATCCGAATTAATCACCCATCTTTGTTTGGAACATGCTAAAGCGTATTCCTTAAATCTTTGCGGTCGTGCAGTACGCGATTATTGTATTGGTTCTAAGGATGTTCTTAGGACTTTCGTAATGTATCTTTTCATTGTATTCACAGAATATTATAATATATTTATGAGCAAACATTGAAATGACGGAACAACATTAATTATCCAACAAATATTAGTAAAATATGTTATTGTGCTTGTGATTGCATCACTGTTTTTAGATATTTAATAAAAGGTTTTAAGCTAAAACCTTTTTAAGTATTTGAGTGTTGTGTAATTTGCTTTAAATATTTTCTGTGTAAATTATTCATAATATTACTTGTTTAAAAATCTGAAACTAATCTAATTGATTCTTGTCAACAAAATAACAGAGCTCTTATGTAATAAAATGATAATTTATATATAAATATATTATTTTAAACACAAAATATAATGCAAACCAAAGTCAAACAAAGAATATTAATAGTTATATATTGTATATTATCATGTATGTGTGAATTATATACATATTGTACACATATATGTATAATTATACACATATATGTATATTTATATAATTATAAAACATAAAAAATTAGGTTTTACTGATAAATATATTTCAATGCTTGCTAATAAATATAATAACATTCTGTGACCACTATAAAAGTACATTGTCTAAGTCCTAAGAACACCGTTAAAGCCGTTACGATTAGCGCGTTTCGTTATATCGTCAAATTTAATAAATGCTTGTTATGGTCAGTACATAGATGGATATTGCTGCAGATTAAAAGAAATTTTCTTTTTAACGGATTATTTCACATCATGTTCCTTTTATAGCACAATCCTAATATACTTAAAGTTTTGTCCAAAATATATTACAACAAATTTACTATATTATCTTCCTTGACAAATTTTGCGATTTATTTTGTGATTTCTTTTAAAGTAAGTTTTCATAATTAATGTATCATATTTGCCACATTATCATATTTAATGAAGAATTGTATATAGTTATATATAAGAATATATTTAATGAAGAATTGTATATAGTTATATATAAGAAGCATGAAGCAGCCATATAAAAAGTTGTGCGTATGTAAAATGTCGTATAAAATTATATATAATTTTATAACGAATTAAGCATAATTTTATACACTTCTATCTAACTTTCTACAGTTATATATGATTGTATCTAAAACAATTTTTATATAACTGAAAGTTCAATATCAGGACCTTGAATAAGTTCTCACTGTTTTCCAATAGATGACGTTACCAAAACTGCGTGCTTGTAGTTTAAGATGGTAACGTATCTATAAGGAAGTATTATAAGCAAACTTGAAATTGAGTGTATGTCATTTCGCCGAAGTGTAAACAACTTTTTTTTTCATAGTGTTAAACATGTCGAATTTCGTGTCAAAAAAAGAAAAGTATTTGCGGGGAAGTTTACTGCACTACTTTGTTCAAAAAAAGTCTGCAGCTGAAACACAGAATTCTTGTTGAAACTTACGGCGACCATGCTCTGTCAGAAACAACATGCAGAGATTTGTTTAGGCGCTTCAAAAATAATGATTTCGATGTTGAAGATAAAGAACGCTCTGGCGCACCGAAAAAGTTTGAAAACAAAGACGTCCTGTAAGAGAACGCAACATAAAGAATGCCTCACCTGTACCTATAGGTTGAAGAGCTAGTCATCGACTAGAAGTGTCACTTTACTAGCCCGACGACGTACGGCGAGCGGTCCGATTTTGAGTCAGAGGACTGAATCTCTTTACTTGGAACTGGACTTTGAGCGATAATAGGAGAGGACGGGTAAACAAAAGAAATTAATGTTTCTTTATAAAAAAAATAATATACGATTTATTTATAATTACAATGAGCTGGTGTGTGTGTGTGTTTGTGAATGTATGGGGTGAGGATGAGCGTTAGAGTTCAGGATTATTGGAGGACATACCGATTTCAGAATTCTGGACGATAATAAATGTCCACCGTAATTATTGCGATTGAGTTTTCGACAGAGTAAAGATATGTCTGTCCGGACTTATTCAAAATTGAGACGCGGAAAACCGGATAATAAAACAATAACTTACTGTTTGTGTGTACGAGGAGAGAAATGGATGGTTCTGGATCTCCTGAGATAGTTTCTTCCTTCGATTCTGATTCTTGAGATGATACTCGTCGTGGTAGTTATGATAATTATTACAGAAGTGATACTCGTAGTGATAGACGTCGTAAATGACAATGAACGAATGAATACAGAAGTAATACTCGTGGACGTCGTAATGATAGTAAGCCTCGAAGCCATACGGATCGGACTTTTTATAGTTTCGGAAAATGGGAAATTTCGGGGATAGCGTTTACCGGATTCGTTGGAGATGTCTTGCTTAGTAACAAGGCTGAGGCTCGGATTGGTGGGAAAAAAATAGAAATTCTGGAAATGTTCAATCAGACCATATATGGACATGCGTATGATTCATGATTCTTTGATAAGGCTTGAGATCTACGTGTTCCTTTTGTGTACTTAACTCTTGTAACCCGGTCAGATAAGTAATCGATCTTAACGCAGTGTAAAGGTATGTGAGGCCATACGGAACGTAACACCCTCGGCCTCAGACAAGTGATGGGGGCACCAAGATTTGAAAGTGGAGCGTATTAAAGTTTGAAATTTGAATTTATAATTAAGGTGAGACGTGGGTGAGCGTGTGTATTTGTGTAAGATATATTGTCAGTTCGCTTCTGAATACGCAGGTCAAATTTTGTTTCGTTCAGTGTTTTCTGTGAACTGTTGTTGAATTAGTTACGCAAGGTGAGGTACGTGAGGCCCTACGGAACGTAACACAAATAATGATTCGCAAAATATTTATTATAATAAAGTTCCAAAGAATACTTTAGAATAAATTAGGCTCGTATAATTCTTCAGGAATTCTTCAAATATTCATTTTTTTAATTATTTAGGTATTCTTTAAAATGAATTCTCTATGATATTCTATTCATCTCTGTGTTATCTGAGTTGACATTTTCTCATTAACATATCTTTGAACATCATCCTACTAACTGGATAATTATGACGATGCAAAGCTCGTGAGTAAGAAATGGTAGGACAAGTACTATAAGATTTATATCTAAGAGCCAAATGCTTGAGATATAAGCACATAATAAGTAAATAGCAACGTGTGTAAATAATATTCTGTTGGTTACATACACCACAGTTGATATAAATGAACATCAGATAAAAATCTGTCACATTCTTTGCTTTTCAAATAGCTGATTAAAAATGACCTTTCGAAAACGTATTATAGACGTCTTTAAATGATGTTACTATCACGACAAAATTGTCCACGTTTTTTAAACGTCAGTTATTAGTTACACGAACTGTAGGACTGGTAATCATCATTTATCGACATAAATATGACGTGACGTTGCTGGCTGGGGATGGAATGATATGTGGCATTGATTGCGCACATTTTCAACATGCCTATAATGAAATTTTATTCTTAAGACATTTATGTCCAAGATCGGATATTTTATGGGCATCCAAATTGGATATTAACGGATGTCCAAAATCGAATATTGACGTCTTATGGACATCCATTGCATGTCCATGGATTTGTGAACGTAAAAGGGACATAAAATGGACATCCGTAGGACGTCATGTGCTATCTGGGTTTTACTGGGAATACTCGATAAATAATTTAGTCCTACAGAGTACAATAAAACTGAAGTTGTCTTCAAAATCGAAACAAACCCCCTTTTGATTAACACATTATACTATATTTTCCATCATCAATTTGTTTCTCCACCAATTCTCAATCGCGAGCGTGATATACGTACCAGCCCAGCGGTGATGAGACCGCCCATATCACGATATACAATGTTCTCTCGTTTTTCAGAATTTTTTATAAACTTTATAGTATTTCAAGAAATTTTAAGAAAATGCAGTACTAAGAATTTAATTAAAAAATTTTTTTTAAATTCTTAAAGCTCTAAAAGAAAAAAATAAATAATTTTTATTTCTAGTTATTTTTCGGTAAAGTTGATAGAATTTGAATAAAAAATTATTGAATACACACATATGTGTGCTTACCATTCAAAGAAACATCAAATCGCAGTCAAACTGAACAATGTAACGTAGTCAGCATTAGTGCAACACAATTTAGAAAGTGGACACAAAATCCGCTTCAACGAAATGACAGTACTGGTCAAAATCAACAACTACTTCCCTAGGAAATACAGGGAACCCTGTAATTGAAAATTCGAAAGCACTATAACAATCTGAACAGGGATAATGGACAAAAAATCAGTCCAATCTAGAAAACCGTCCTCCTAGTTAAACCCCCCATACGGTCTCTTCCACCCTCCTCCCCCAGGCTCGCTATATGACAACTGCTATATAAAGGAAGACCTCTCAGGAGCAACTCGGCATCGAATCGTTCCTTCCTGACAAGGCGGACTGAATAGTTCGTGAAACGTTGTAATCAAACAAAGATGAATCCACGCGGCTCAAATCAGGAAGACAAATTTAATATGCATGGACACAGCGAAAGCCTAAAAAATCAAATTAAAATACATTTTTTCTCAATGTGACTAGTTATAGCACTTTGTTTATTACGCATCCGTATAATGTGATCAGAAAGCTTTTCTATGCTATACTTACTATTAATCGAACAAAGTAGCGCAACAATAGGGACGACTCATAACATATAATATTATACAATCATATACATACTTTCGTTTAATACAGTATGAACTACGCTTTTACACAAAATCGGGAAAAAAACATAATACAAATTTCCTAATGAATGTGTACTATTACAAGACTTATATTTCATTGCCGACGATAATTACACTTGTATTTAATTTTGCAATTACAGATGATAACTCGAGAGACGCTAACAATTCCAGGTCTATTTTCATATTTCTTAACATATTTTGACAATTTAAATTGGAAAAGTCGATATTAACAAGTTATAATATTTGTTTAAAAAGCACAGTTTGAAGAAAATAATGTACATGAAACATTGAAATTACTATCAGCACCTATCACTTGTAGAACGTGATCAATGAAATAGAGATTTGTAAGATAATTACATACAACTCAGTTATAGGCATAGAATGATCGTAGCTGCATATAATATTGCCTATAAATATGGTGCAGAATGTGACAAATTGTAAAACTTAAAGAAACTATATACATATGGCCAACATTCTATTATTTCATATTCAACATTCTTTACATATTTTGTGAAAATGAGAAATTATATACTAACACACCTTATACTAATTAATTATATACTGACAAATGAGCAAATATATTTTAACAAAAATACTATCAATTTATGACTGAATATATGCTTCAGTAAAAAATATCATCAACTATATCAAAATATAAATAGGATTAAACAATACATAATCTTCTGCCTAGGTCGATCATGTGATTTAATTTATGAAAACATAATAAAATGCGTATTTCGGTAGTAAAATCCACCAGTCATATAATTTCTATGCGGCATATAACCGCGGAATTTATTTTCTCTGTGTAATCGATTTCTGGTTGTACCTGTTTGTTCTTGTATCTTGTCTATGCATTCTTGTACTGTATTTTCCGAAATAGCGGTTAAAAGTAACGGACACTCTTGCGCTATTATTGCTTCTAAAGATTTAGACCATGTATCTAAGAAAAGCCATTCTATTTCAAACAGTACGATCACATTCGGTTTTTCATATGAATCTAAGCGTACAAAATCGTGATACGGTTCTGATACGCTTCTAATATAAAGTTTCTGTTTATAATGTTTGCACACACTACACACAAAGCCTAAATCGCTCGATTCAAAATTTAACGAATTTATAAATACAATATACAGTTCACTTATTTTTCTATATAAATGTAAGAAAATATGCCACGTTTCCAAAGATATTATATCTGTTTTATTTACATCTATTACATGAATGACATATTTCATTCTATACCATAAACGCGATATTAAATTTGATTCCTGCAACGCATTGTATAACGTCAGGGGGCCGGATGTGTAATCAGAAAAAATAAGTTGCTCTAATGACAAGTGGAACCTTAGCATAGAATGGTCGAAAGTCAACTCAGAAGCAGGCAATATAGCATAAATGGGTAGGTAGTTCTTCATAAATGTAAAAGTGTCATGAAAAGGTGCCGTAGCAGGAAATTTGGTGAACTTATATTTTTTGATTTGAGGTAAAATTTCTTCAATATGGCCGTTTGTATGGGCGATATTTATGTTCAGTAATTGCAATAACTCATCGCAGCACTTCTCATGCAATGTTTTAAATAGTATTTGGTCATCATCACAAAAGTTGGCTGAATAGCAAATGTTGCAGCGGCTTATGTTTGTCTGTCGGAAACACACACCACACGATTTTGCGCACATTATTATCTCTATTTCGTATGCAGCTAAGCCACGTTTCAGAATAGAGGGCATTTGATGTAAAATTCCTTTCCTTGATTCTATCCATTCTCCCAAGCTACGATACGTATTCGAGAATAATTTGTCTGTTATTACCCTTCTTATAGCTTTGCAAATCTGAGAGTGTGTGTTTCTATGCATCGTTTCATGCTCCTCGGAACAGTAAGAAATCATGCAGCACCGAATACACGTTATCAAGTCTTCGCTGGGCTCTTTGCAAACATGACAAACGTTTGGATTAAAAAACTTATTATATCTTTCTTCTGTGTATGGACCAGCAAAAATTAATTTTGTCAAGAAATTCATCGCGATACGTCTTATTAATTCACGTTTATGTGTTGTTTGATTGTAATATTTATTTCAAAATAATGCACGAAGCTCGGCAACTCACGGAATGTAACAGAAATGTATATACGGGTTATATATAGGTATTTAACTGGTAACAGTACACAGAACATTAATAACAATGTACAAGTATGTTTGTATGTATCGAAAAAGTTGTTGACAAGGTAAATTGTAACTGTTGAGATGACGAACTAGAAATATTCGTTAGTGGAAAGAAACAATATGCAAACGTGATATATTATTTATGAATATCTACTTTAAAATATCCAAAACAAAGTACAAAGTTCACCAAGAAAATTATTTTAGAAAATTTGTTGTAATTTTTAATAAAACTTTAGTTTTTTCGGTAATATATTAGAAATTAGTTATTTCGGCAATATATTAGAAAGATCACTCTAAGCTAACTAATCCTTTGAAAAAATCTTTGATCCGAATTAATCACCCATCTTTGTTTGGAACATGCTAAAGCGTATTCCTTAAATCTTTGCGGTCGTGCAGTACGCGATTATTGTATTGGTTCTAAGGATGTTCTTAGGACTTTCGTAATGTATCTTTTCATTGTATTCACAGAATATTATAATATATTTATGAGCAAACATTGAAATGACGGAACAACATTAATTATCCAACAAATATTAGTAAAATATATTATTGTGCTTGTGATTGCATCACTGTTTTTAGATATTTAATAAAAGATTAAGCTAAAACCTTTTTAAGTATTTGAGTGTTGTGTAATTTGCTCTAAATATTTTCTGTGTAAATTATTCATAATATTATTTGTTTAAAAATCTGAAACTAATCTAATTGATTCTTGTCAACAAAATAACAGAGCTCTTATGTAATAAAATGATAATTTATAAATAAATATATTATTTTAAACACAAAATATTTGCAAACCAAAGTCAAACAAAGAATATTAATAGTTATATATTGTATATTATCATGTATGTGTGAATTATATACATATTGTACACATATATGTACAATTATACACATATATGTATATTTATATAATTATAAAAAATAAAAAATTATGTTTTACTGATAAATATATTTCAATGCTTGCTAATAAATATAATAACACCCTGTGACTACTATAAAAGTACATTATCTAAGTCCTAAGAACACCGTTAATGCCGTTACGATTAGCGCGTGTCGTTATATCGTCAAATTTAATAAATGCTTGTTATGGTCAGTACATAGATGGATATTGCTGCAGATTAAAAGAAGTTTTCTTTTTAACGGATTATTTCACATCATGTTCCTTTTGTAGCACAATCCTGATATACTTACAGTTTTGTCCAAAATATATTACAACAAATTTACTATATTATCTTCCGTGACAAATTTTGTGATTTATTTTGTGATTTCTTTAAAAGTAAGTTTTCATAATAAATGTATCATATTTGCCACATTATCATATTTAATGAAGAATTGTATATAGTTATATATAAGAAGCATCAAGCAGCCATATAAAAAGTTGTGCGTATGTAAAATGTCGTATAAAATTATATATAATTTTATAACGAATTAAGCATAATTTTATACACTTCTATCTAACTTTCTACAGTTATATATAATTGTATCTAAAACAATTTTTATATAACTGAAAGTTCAATATCAGGACCTTGAATAAGTTCTCACTGTTTTCCAATAGATGACGTTACCAGAAGTGCGTGCTTGTAGTTTAAGATGGTAACGTATCTATAAGGAAGTATTATAAGCAAACTTGAAATTGAGTGTATGTCATTTCGCCGAAGTGTAAACAACTTTTTTTTTCATAGTGTTAAACATGTCGAATTTCGTGTCAAAAAAAGAAAAGTATTTGCGGGGAAGTTTACTGCACTACTTTGTTCAAAAAAAATCTGCAGCTGAAACACACAGAATTCTTGTTGAGACTTACGGCGACCATGCTCTGTCGGAAACAACATGCAGACATTTGTTTAGGCGCTTCAAAAATAATGATTTTGTTGTTGAAGGTAAAGAACGCTCTGGAGCACCGAAAAAGTTTGAAGACGAAGACATCCTGTAAGAGAACGCAACATAAAGAAAGCCTCACCTGTACCTATAGGTTGAAAAGCTAGTCAACGACCAGAAGTGTCACTTTACTAGCCCGACGACGTACGGCGAGAGGTCCGATTTTGAGTCAGAGGACTGAATCTCTTTACTTGGGACTGGACTTTGAGCGATAATAGGAGAGGACGGGTAAACAAAAGAAATTAATGTTTCTTTATAAAAGAAATAATATACGATTTATTTATAATTACAATGAGCTGGTGTGTGTGTGTGTGTGAGTATGTGTTGGAATGTATGGGGAAAGGATGAGCGTTAGTGTTCAGGATTATTGGAGGACATATCAATTCCAGAATTCTGGTCGATAATTAATGTCCACCGGAATTATTGCGATTGAGTTTTCGACAAAGTAAAGATATGTCTGTCCCGACTTATTCGAAATTGAGACGCGAAAAACCGGATAATAAAACAATAACTTACTGTTAGTATGTACAAGGAGAGAAATGGATGTTTCTGGATCTCCTGAGATAGTTTCTTCCTTCGATTCTGATTCTTCAGATAATACTCGTCGAGGTAGTAATGATAGTAATTACAGAAGTGATAGACGTCGTAAATGACAATGAACGAATGAATACAGAAGTAATACTCGTGGACGTCGTAATGATAGTAAGCCTCGAAGTCATACGGATTGGACTTTTTATAGTTTCGGAAAATGGGAAGTTTCGGGGATGGCGGTTACCGGATTCGTTGGAGATGTCTTGCTTAGTAACAAGGATGAGGCTCGGATTGGTGGGAAAAAAATAGAAATTCGTGAAATGTTCGATTAGGCCATATATGGACATGCGTAATTGTAGGTGGTATGATTCATGATTCTTTCGTAACGCTCGAGATCTATGTGTTCCTTTTGTGTACTTAACTTTTGTAACCCGGTCGGATAAGTAATTGATCTTTACGCAATGTAAAGGTACATGAGATCCTACGGGACGTAACAAAAAATTGGAGGCATTTCTTCATGAAGACTCATGTCAGACGCTAGCTGAAGTTGCAGAATCATAAGGAGTTCATCACACAACGGTTTCGAAACGTTTGAAAGTATTAGGAATGATTCAAAAGCAAGGACATTCGGTGCCATACGAGTTGAAGCCGAGAGATTTTGAACGGCGTCTTTTCACGTATGTACAGCTGCTTCAACGGCAGAATAGGAAAGGTTTTTTGCATCGTATCGCGACTGGCGATGAAAAGTGGGTACACTACGATAACCCTAAGCGTAGAGGATCGTGGAGTAAGCCCGGCTATGCATCAACATCGTCGGCAAAAATATCCATGTTTTGAAGCTTCTGCTCTGCATTTGGTGAGATCAGCTGGGTGTAGTTTATTATGAGCTGCTCAAACCGAACGAAACCATCATGGCATATCGTTATCGATTACAATTGATGTATTTGAGCCAAGCATTGAAGGAAAAACGGCCGCTATACGAGCAGAGACACGACAAAGTGATTTTGCAACATGACAACGCTCGGCCATATGTTGCACAACCGGTGAAAACCTACTTGGAAACGCTTAAATGGGAAGTCCTACCCCATCCGCCGTATTCATCAGACATTGCCCCTTCCGATTATGACTTGTTCCGATTGATGGCACATTACCTGGCTGAGCAGCATTTCCATTCTTATGAAGATGCCAAAAAATGGGTCGCCTCTTGGATAGCCTCACAAGACGTGTCGTTTTTTCGACGTGGAATTCAAATGCTGCCAGAAAGATGAGAAAAAGTAGTGACTAGATGGACAATACTTTCAGTGCATGTTTTTTACGACTTTTTTAAAATAAAGTATTAATTTTCACAAAAAATCAGCGAGAACTTATTCAAGGTCCTAATAATTAAAGTGAATTTTAAGTATTGTTTTGTCAAAAGTAGGCTCAAAAGTATATTTGCATTTTACTTAAAAAGAACATCGCAGTATTTAAATAACCCAAAATTTAACTAAATTAGTTCAATAAATTCAAATAAATTTTAAGTTTAGGGGTATTATTGTTAACAAACTTTATAATACTTTATGTAAATTCAAAAAGTGTAAACAGATTTTCATGAAAGAAGCGTACGCTGATTCTTGAAATCCTTCAGACCAAACAAATACAGAAGTTTGGAAGTTCAGGTCAAAGATTGTGCTAAAATTTCGATTCGGAAAATATCCGATGTGTTAAAACCTTCACATCTAAATTGTAGTAGCCGTAACGTAACACGTAACGTAAAAATTGATGAATCACACTGAATATTATCGAACCGTAACCTTGCCAGTTTTGTGAATACACGGTTATAATTGGTAAATTTTTACTATACACTTTACGTTACAGTTATATCAACTTGTCTGCGAAGATCTTTACGAGCGAACATTGTATATCATGATAGGCGCGGTCTTATCACCGCTAGGATGATACGTATATCACGCTCGCAATTGGGAATTGGTAAAAAAACAAATTGATGATGGAAAATATAATATAATGTGTTAATCAAAAAGGAATTTGCTTCGATTTTGAAAATAAATTGAGTTTTATTGTACTCTATAGAAGCAGATTAATTAATGAGTATTCACAGTATAAAGGTATGGTATTTTTACACACAACATAAAACAAAAAATTATATATGAAAATTAATTAAATAAATTACATATACAGGGTGCCTGAAAACTTTCTTGATACAATTCGTAGAAAAGTAGGACGAATTAAACAGAGCAAGAAAGTCAAATATCATTTTGCGAAATTCGCATTAGTTTCCGAGTAATTAATTATTGTGTTTGAGCAGATGAGCGCTCGGGCCGCGCGCGACCATGTTACAAGCAAATCGCGACTTGCTGTGTCCCTCCGCCCATAGCTACGAGATACAGCGTATAATTTTGATATGTTAATGTTTATGACTTTTCGTATCGAGAAACGAAGAACATCCGAGTCTTCGAGCACAGCGAAACATTGTGAACATTGGTGACTTTGCATAGAGGATGACACTTATAGGATGGCGCAATGCACGACAATTTTGACGCGTTGAACATTGTG